ATTCGATGACCCTTGTGGATTCGATCTGGATAGCAAACCGGGTATGAGGCCCTGTCTTGGATGCGCGAGAATTGGGTTGGTGGTCAGGTGATTGGGGAAGGGGGGGCCAAAGCAGGCGGGCGAGCAAGACGACCGCCCGTGTGCGCACATCGGACGAGCTTGTCCCCGGTGTGTGAAGGGTGTCAGGCTGCGGCCGACAGTGGAGATGACAACGGCGGTGGGTGCGCCTTTGCTTTGCCGGGGGGGGGCGAGGGGGCGAGGGGGTGGGCTGGCAAGGGGGCGAAAGGAGAGGAGTTTTGAGGATTTTAGGGTTTCTGGAAGGCCATATGGGCCGCTCGCGCCTCGAGCTGTTGTTGCAAGAAGACCATGACCATGTCGAGCCATGTGGTTGTCACCAGGACAAGCGTCCGGCGGTGGTCAAAGAGTGGTGTGTCAAAGCTCTGCTACCTTGGTTTCCTTTTCGTGGGAGAGAAAGCAGGGTGGTGGGTGAAGGGAGGCGGAAATCCCCATGCTTGGGCCGCCCACCTGTCCAGCGCTCAGGTACCTCGCCTGCCTACCTAGGCACCTGAGGTACCTAGGTAGTACCTTAGGTGTCTAGGATACTGGGTAAGGGGGGAAAGGACATACATGCCTGCATGCCCCAGATGCCAGATGCTTGGGTGGAGCTTGCAGGGTGCTTTCTCGCTGGTCGCCTGTCACTGTTCCTTCGCGCGGGCGCGCGCTCCTCCTGCAACTCTGTATTTCCTCGGCACCGAACCCCTAGACAGAGAGATCATTACAATCCCGACAGTGAAAAAGGCGTTGATCGTGCTCCTGTGTTGCACCCTTCATCTCTTGACGAGAGACGACATGTCGGCGATCGCATGTAGGCATGGCCATGGTGGAGGGTGTGGCTTCAGCTGCAGAACGGGGTGTCGATCGATGGTTCGTCTGACGTTGCGGATGGGCGGCAAGCACTCATTTGCAGCACATCTGGGGGAACAGGGCCGCTCACTCGTTTGATCTTCTCCACCGCATCTCACACCTGCCTGCCTCTGCCTCGCTTGGCTACATATACATGTACCGTGCCATGCACGTACC